ATTTCAATGTCATACAAGGAAATATTTGCTTAAATTTAGGTTTTATTACTAATTTTTGTAACTAATAATTAGTATAATATACACACGATTTTATAATTTATAATTATAACAACTTCCTTAGACTAACTAATTGTCTGAACATTTTATTTATATTTTTATTTGAAGGGAAATAATTAATAGCAGAGTTTTATACCGTTATACGAAAATACAAATACAATTGTTGTCTATTTTATTAGAAAATAAGTGAAAAATTATAAATAATTTATTACTTCTTTCCCATTAAAAGTCAATATCTTTTTAGTGATTAATTTGTTTGTAATCTAATGGCAGAAAACTTTTTATTACTGAATGTATAGTATTTTTGTAGTGAAAATTGGCATTAAATTTGGTCGTAAAAATAGTTATAAAACAAATTCATTAATAAAACTCGAAAATTAAATCCTATAAAAATTACTACACTTAACGACTCTCTCTCTCTCTCTCTCTCTCTCTTTCTCTCTTTCTCTCTAAGGGAAGAAAAATTGAATAATTTATTTACGAAATTCTTGACAACAATTCTGTGTTAGGACTTCACAGTTATGTTGATATTTGTGACGCGAATGCTATGCAAAAGCAATCAAAAAATATGCGGCACTCGAGTGATGGCCATAAGGAATGGAATTCAATATTGAGAGGAATTTTTGGATCATTTATTAAAAAACTAATACCTCTTCGCTAATAATAATCACACTTTTCATGACAAAAGAGTTCATAACTATTGTGATGATCACATCGAGTGAGAGAGACAGGGCTGGGATCTGCTGTTGTAAAGGGCTCTCCATTATAGCCAATGATATTAAAAGTTTTGGCCAAGAATTACAAACAAATAAAATACTAGAAAAGCATTTATTATATGAAATATTTTTATCAATACTTCATATATAAGACTCGGTAACAAATTAATGGTTGCATTGAATTGTCTTTTAAAAGACAATTATTTAGCAAATTATGTGTTATTAATGGAAATGGAGTCGTAATAAGCATTTAATACTCGGCGTGAAAATACCCGGGAGAGTGGCGATGGCACTGGTAGTTCATTAAGTCTCCCCCCGGTGTATATTAAATGCCAAAAATGTCTGATATGTCGGTCGCAAACAATTTAGTCATTCATTAATTTTTATTAAAACGGATTTTTACGTCCGAAAGAGAAAAGCGAGTAAAAGGGGACAACAGTTTGAGAGAGAAAACGGTTGTCTCTCTCTCTCTCCTTATCTAACCAGCGATGCGTTCACTCGTTATATGGGAATCAGCTCTTCATTAGTGAATCAGTGGTTAGAAAACATAAGACACGAACGGATTATACAAATAAAAACGTTGCGATTTGTGTTGATTATCAATTTGATTATGTTTTCGCCGATTATTATATTATTTTACTTTCACTTCAACCAAATCCGGGGCTCCGAGTCCGGCGGCCAGGAGTTGGCCGACTCGGCCATCGAGAGTAACGTCACGTTTCAGACGCAACTCGATGTCGACGATCAGTACCGACTGTTTTGGACCGTCGACTACGAGACACAGGCGGCCACTCTGGAGGTGAGGGCTGTGTTGCAGCGACCGTACGATTGGTTTGCCGTCGGTTTCTCCAATTACGGAGAGATAGTCGACGCCGATATGTGTGTGCTTTGGACCGATAGGAGACATAAAATTCATTTCCAGGTCAGTGACGACTTCATTAGGCAACAGATTATGTATAAAATTTTATGTAATCCATGTCCACATATACAGGATATCCATACGGATAACAATAGCTTTGTGTTTGTGGACGACGTGTCCAATGACTGCAAGCTATTGAGTGCCCGAAAAAAGACTAAAGTCTTGCGGTTTGCTTTTCGCCGCGATTTCGATACATGCGATCCAAACGACTACTTAATTGAAGTAATAATCGCTGTTTGAATTGAAATTCATTATAAATTTTAGTTAATTTAAAACTCCATACTATAGAACATTATATAATATTATGCTATCAAATAGATTATAATTATATATCAAATTAGTTTATAATTACAATGGTTTTAATCTATAATTACCCCACAAAAGGATGGCACTACACATATAGTGTATGCAACCGGAAAGGGACCAGTATCCCGAGTGGACGGCATACGATTGGCTGACCACAAACATGGTTTCCAAAGGGTGCAGCTGTTGAAGCGATTGGAAGTGTTGCCTAAATTGGCGTCTATTACAAAAATGATTGAGTTTGTCAACAGCGAGGTCAGTGTCCCGGACACCGACACCACCTACTGGTGCAGAGTTCACGAGCTGCCGAAGGAACTCAAAGATAAACACCATATCATTCAGTATCAGGCGGTCATACAGGAGGGCAACGAGGCTCTGGT